TGGAGAGAGAGTGAGGGAGAGAGAGTGAAGGAGAAGAGGGAAAATAGAGAGAAGAGAAGGAGAAGAGTGGGATGCAGAGAGAGAGAGAGAGTGGGAGAGGGGGTTGGAGGGAAGAGAGGGAAAGTTAAAATGGAAGGGAGAGAGAGAGAGAGAGAGAAAGAGGGGGGAGGGAGGGAGAGAGGGAGAGAGAGAGAGAGGGGGGGCGGAAGGGTGAGAGAGAGAAAGAGGGGGAGGGGAGAGAGAGAGGGGGGGGTGAAGGGTGAGAGAGAGGTGGGGGAAGGGTGAGAGAGAGAGAGGGGGGGAAGGGTGAGAGAGAGAAAGAGGGGGAGGAGAGAGAGAGAGGGGGGGGGATGGTGAGAGAGAGGGGGGGGGAAGGATGAGAGAGAGAGAGAGAGAGAGAGAGAGAGAGAGAGAGAGAGAGAGGAGAGAGAGAGAGAGAGAGAGAGAGAGAGAGAGAGAAGGAGAGAGATTTCGGTCTCGTCACATACTCTGTTCATTGCAAAACAAGCCATGTTTGAATCAGTGTCTCTTGATAGAATACGTAATATTCCCTTCAACAATTCTTCTGCCATTGTCTCTCCGGAACACAACAGAACAGGAATCGCCGCAAGAACAAGAACGCCCTGTCTTTGAAGAACACTCTGCACACCCTGGTCTCCTCGGCGACCTGGCCAAGATGGGACCACAGCTCGCGGTAAGAACTGGTCTGGAGATTGGCGTCTGAGGCGCTTTTCTTTGGGTCTTGGATTATTATTATTATTATTATTATTATTATATTATTATTATTATTATTATTATTATTATCATTATTATTATTATATATTATTATTATTATCATTATTATTTATTATTATTATTATCATTATTATTATTTATAATTATTATTATTATCATTATTATTATTATAATTATTATTATTATCATTATTATTATTATCATTATTATTATTATCATTATTATTATTATCAATCATTATTATTATTATCATTATTATTATTATCATTATTATTATGATCATTATTATTATTATCATTATTATTATTATCATTATTATTATTATCATTATTATTATTATCATTATTATTATTATCATTATTATTATGATCATTATTATTATGATCATTATTATTATTATCATTATTATTATGATCATTATTATTATTATCATTATTATTATTATCAATATTATTTTTATTATCATCATTATTATTTTATTATCATTATTTTTAATATCACTATTATTGTCCACGACCTACAGCTGTGGGTCGTGGACGTCGCCGACGGTCGTCTGCCGGCGCGAACGAGGTCACCTGAACGCGTGCGAGGTCAGCCGCCTCCTTAGCAAAGGTCACGGCTGGCCTGGGTCACTCGCCGCGCATTTGCTCACGTGAGTTCATATTTTGTATTCTTGTGTGTTTGTATTTTGTTTTTGACTGTGGTTGTTTTCCGTTAATTTTCCTTTTTGTTTTTTCATGCTATTTTGTGTATTTGATGTATGATCAGCCTGTAGATTCAGATGATTTCATGATCATGATAGTATAGGGCAGGGAAACATGTACTTTTTCTCATTAACTCAACAAACGATCAAGGAGGAACAAATAATTTGATGGCTGAATTTCACTTTATTTTTTTCGTCCTGCGTTTATATTCAGTCTCCACAAGTAATAATCTTAATTTCCGCGATAACTTCCGTAGTCTCGCTTTCTCCATTTACCTTCTTTGTGAACTCGACGATGGCGCCACAGAAATCATAATATTTCCCTGCCTTTCCCTCCAGGAGCACTCTGGCGGGCGCCCTTAGTTCACATACGTCTTCGAGGGAAAGACTGAAAGATTCGGGACTCCTTGACGGGACATCGAGCTGCTCTAATAGTTGTTTAGACTGAATAGATGACGTGGCTTATAAAGGGCATTGGATATTTTGCTTTTATCGAGTTTTGTAATGTTTATGGAATTACTGTAATGGGTATTATAGTAATTCGTATTGTTCATTTTTTTTATTCATCTGTTTTGTTTACTGACATTTATTTATCTATCCTTTACTCCTCTATCAGTTACATACATATTTGTTCAAGATTTTTAACAAGGATCCATCATATCCTACATGTTATGCAACAACTCTGATTCACTTCTTTAGTCAGACTAAGCATTATGGTTACATTCATTCACCTGTGAAGAAATGCACACTTTTGTTCTTTATGGCCATATGCTTAAAGTAATTGCATAACACAAATCAGTTCTTAACACAGTTTTCTTATGCTAGAATCTTCACAATTGTAGGAAGTCTTATTGTAACTTCAGAACATTAACTTTCAAAAATAGTGTTCTTATCCTTTTGCATTATTTTGGTATACATTTATTTTTTGTGGTATTATTTCTTACTAGAGGATTTTATGCTTCAAAGTGTGCATTCCACAATTATTTTAAGCATACAACCGTAAGAACCAATCACTAGTCTTATCTTATTAAAATCAATAAAAACAAGATGAACGTGAGAGTTTTGTGGAGGAAATCCTATATTTTATATAGGCGATACATTCACCTTTAACTAGAAAAACGAGGAATATTTGAAAAGTAGGGAAAAGGAAGACGATGCCTACACCCCTATATCATACCATACATTGTACACTACGTATGGACATTTTCCATACGGATGAAGAACTTTTCAAGGTCTGCTTTTTAGGCCTTGATTTGACTGTTCTCTGGATATAGAATATAAGTCAGTATATAGAACTAAAATTTTTATATCCCTTGCTAAAATGTAACTGATGGTCTTTAGTTTTCTTTCCAATTAGGACTAGCTTTGTTTAGGTTTCATCCAAACCTCTTCCTATTTTAGAGATCTATAATCACTTCTGAATACTCTGGTGATAGAGAAAAACAATATGTATGGAAATGGATATTAAAATACATTTGCATTGTAAATAACAATACATTACCAAGTGGAAAGATAATTTGCTTTATCCTTGTCAGTGCTTAAAATACTGTATATTACTTTTCTTACGCTAATAATTCATGTCGGATGACAAGAAAAATGTGAGTGAAAAATAAACTGTATTTTCAGAACCTTTCCAGGGAAATTCACACAAGGAATACATCCAAATCTTTTATTACAGCTGGAGAAGATGACTGTCAGTACGTAACAGCCAGTAAAAAGATCACAATGTACATTTCCATCAAAAACAGAGAATCGGTGTCCTACACTAGATGTCAATTTGGTCCTCCTCTGATTCTATTTGTCTACCAACAGAAAACCTACAAATTTAACATTACTGTTAATTTTTCACAAGAATTTTCTGGCATATACACTTCTTTGTAGATTTAGTAACATACTGATATGATCTATCTTATGAAATACTTTTCTTTTCTTTGAAGTGTAAAAGATTATCCAAAATCTGATACCCAGATTCAAACTTATATCTGAGAAATAAACAATATGCATATTTAATCTAACTTTTTTCAGCATTATTTTCACTAATAATGCTTAACCCACTATGGTGGTCACCTTTTTACACTAAATGTAATAAAGAAAAATAACATACTAAACCATACAAACAATAGAAACATACCACCACTCATTTGTATATTAATATTAATAATAAAAAAAACATTCATCAACCCCTGACTCTCACATACATTCTTAAATCTCAGAAAAAAAGAAAAATGGGGGAAAAAATACATTCACACAATTTGAAATTCCTAATTACAACCTAATTCTAGCGGCCTTTCATCTGTTGTCTACGTCTCTTGCCCGGTCTGATCTTGGCTGCGTGGATCTTACCCCCTTTCCTCCCTTCCCCCTTTCCCTGCCTTAAACTTGTTCCCCCCTTCTGGAAGCCACCCCATGATCATCAAAGTCGTTTGAGTTGTTCCTCTTCTCGTTGCGTCGCATGCCTCCCTTGCCATACTTCCGGTCCTTCATCGCTCGCCGCAGGTTTGTTCTGGCAAGGATGGAGCAAGTTGTTAACAGAGAAATGTAAGTGGGAAAGAAAAACTATAAAGAGAATAAATAACCGCAAAGCAAGCAAGAAATTCAATGTTTTACGGAAATATGTTTTGAAACCAGAAAATGGGAAGTACATGTAAGAGACCCTTAACATTTCTCAGAACAAGTACTTAGATATATAATTGTTAAACACATCTGGCAAACTAGAATGCAAATAATTAAACTCTTAGAAATATGTATATTCACACAACAGTAGTTTCTATATATCTAAAAAATATTCTATCAATAATTATTTTAAACTCACTTTCTTCCATCCACTCTGTTTCTCTGTTCTCGTAGTGGTTTGTTGCTCAGGAAATCAATGTTGTCTGTTTTGCCCTGCGAATAAAAAGACAGGTTGTAGTTCACTAACTCAAGCTTAAACATCAATCTTTACTGCATAACCACATCCAAACTTGAAGTAGAGAGTCAAATTCAGCACTTCTAGATAACCCCTCACCACAAAAGAATTTCCTTATTCTGAAAGTAACATGCAAGAAACGAAAGTCACCTTATAAGGACAATGCCTTGAAGACTTAGTGCAAAAGCAAAATATCAATTCTGGAATAAAGGCCCACAATGAGAAAAAATAAAATACTGATTATATAAATACTGAATATAAAAATAAAAATACTGAAATTGCATCTTGAAAAGATGCCTCTAATGACAGACAGACAGAAACACACACACACAAAATGTAAGGCACTACAACTTTCCATATTACAAAAGGGAGTCTATAGCCTTCAGGACACTTCAAACAGGCTACAGTTTATGGTGAGCAATGAAAAAAATATATAATTGACAACAAATTTAACCCATTCCCGCCGGGTGGCATGTACGTACATGCCATGGCATGCCGAGGCCATATGCCGGGTGGCATGTACATACATGCCATAATTCGCCACTCCCATTTTCCGGTGGCATGTATGGCCATGCCATGATCTTTTTTTTGCAAATACGGTAAAATATTCTTTTTATGATACTGAAACATTGATGGATTAGTTTTTTTATAAATATGATCATTTTCTTACATAAGACGTACTCTGGCTTCAGAGGCAAGCGTCTGAAAAATTACGTTGACAATCGGCCCGCGACTCGCGAAACAGGTCGGTCGCGGCGTGATTCGGCGCCCGCGAGCGCGTGTATGCATTACTATTCGCGTGCGTATATATGTGTGCGTGGGCGTGCGCGCGCGCATCTGTATATGATTCAGCGTGTGTGTATGCAGCAATAGTATTTGTGTGCGCATATATGTATGCGTGTGCGCGCTCGCGCGTGTTTGTGTGTGACCCAGCGTGTGTGTATGCAGCAATAGTATTCGCGTGCGTATGCGCTCTCGCGCGCTCACGTGTGTGTGTGTGATTCAGCGTGCGTGTATGCAGCAATAGTATTCGCGTGCGTATATATGTGTGCATGTGCGCGCTCGCACGTGTGTTTGTGCGTGTGCGTGCTCGCGCGCGTGTGTGTAATTCAGCGTGTGTATGCAGCAATAGTATTCGCGTGCGTATGTGTGCGTGTGCGCGCTCACGCGTGTGTGTTTATGTGTGTGCGTGCTCACGCGCGTGTGTGTATGCAGCAATAGTATTCGCGTGCGTATATATGTGTGTGCTCGCGCGCTCGCGTGTGTGTGATTCAGCATGTGTATGAAGCAGTACTATTCGCTTGCGTATATGCGTGCGCGTGTGTGTGCGAGCGTTCGCTCGCGTGTGTGTGTGTGTGTGTGTGTGTGTGTGTGTGTGTGTGTGTGTGTGTGTGTGTGTGTGTGTGTGTGTGTGTGTGTGTGTGTGTGTGTGTGTGTGTGTAAAAAAAAAAAAAAAAAAAAAAAAAAAAAAAAAAAAAAAAAAAAAAAAAAAACAGCAATGAGACTAATATCAAAGCAATGGATAGCAAATAGAAAATGAAGAAAAAGAGAAAAGAAAAGAGAAAATCACCGCAAACGAGGCTAATGGTAGTTGAACGAGGGAACGGGGCGCGAGGTAGTTTGCTTGCCGGTGGATTGTTATCGAACCCGGTGGATTGTTCGAGAACCAGGGAAATGGCGCAATCTGATTGGTTGACGAAGGTAATATATAGAGGTGTGGTAGGCAGGCCTATTCAGTCTACGTCTGCCTTGAATACCCTGAAGATGCCTCGGAACACGCGCACTTCGTCCGCTGCCGCTGCTGCTCTCCCGATGACCCTCAGCCTTCCACCTCGGCTGGCCCCTTGAGCTTTTACGACGACTCGTCGGATGATGAATCCGGCGAGAGGTTCGTGCCAAGGGGTCGGGTCCTCATCGAGGACAGCAGCGACAGCGACCTCGGTAGCGACAGCGGCGATGATTCCGATCTAGATTACGTGTCTCACGACACGAGTCTAGATGAGGATGAGCCGCTGTCTGCTTACGCTCGGCGGTTGCGGGAGCGGAATTCTCCAGGACAGCCTGGGTTCCGGTGGAGGAAGAAGGAGAATGTACCCACAAGGTATGGTTTCAGGGCCCAGCCTGGGGTCAACACCCCCGGGGTGGACTCTGACTCCAGCCCGCTGGAACTTTTCTCCTTGTTCTTCACCGAAGAACTCATGGATATGATCGTCCGCGAGACAAACCGGTAAGTTCACGTAATTTTTTGTTTCATTTACATATTTTTGTCAAATTGAATATATAATATATATATTATGTGAATATATAATGATTACATTGTGTACAATGACTAATTTTTGCATTTCTATCTTTCCAGGTACCACCGTCAAAAGCCAGGGCCCAGTTCTTCTCATATGAAGGACTGGGTAGACACCTCTGTCTCGGAGCTTGGTGTCTTCATCGGCCTCAGGATGGCCATGGGGATAAACCAAAAGCCCGAGCAGAGGAGTTACTGGTCGACCGACCTGTTCTACCACAGTCCCCTGTTCCCAGTGACTATGACGCGGGATCGTTTCGATCAGTTGAGCCGCTACCTCCACGTGGTGGACAACGAGGGGAGTCATCCCCCCGATGACCGCCTGTGGAAGTTGCGGCCAGCTATCGAAATTCTCCAGCGTCAGTTCTCGTCGGTCTTTACTCCTCCCAGGAGGATTACAGTCGACGAGAGTCTCTGGAAATTTCGGGGGCGCTTTGTAGCCGTGACCTATAACCCCAGCAAGCGCTCGCGCTTTGGGGTGAAGGTCTACAAGCTCGCGGCCAGTGAAGGCCCGAGCAACGGTTACATATGCGCCTTCGAAATTTACACGGGCAGGGACAGAAGCGACATACCCGCATCCCAGAGGGCTGTCATTCACTTGATGGGCGCAGCGGGCTTATTTGATAAAGGGTATGATCTGTATACCGATAACTGGTATACGTCGCCTACCCTTTTTCATTACCTGCAGAGCAGGCGCACGAACGCGATTGGCACAGTACGTACCAATCGCAAGTTCATGCCCACTGATCTGCAGGTAAAAGCCCGCGGACAGGTGGACAGTCGCAGCACGCCTACAGGCATGTTGTGCCTGCAATGGCGCGACAGGCGTGTAGTGACGTTGCTGTCGACTGTCCACAAAAGCGAGATGGTCGCCACCCGGTCCCGCAGTGGGTTTGAAAGGATCAAACCCAAGGTAGTCGTAGACTACAACTGTGGGATGAAGGGGGTCGATAACAGTGATCAGCTGGCTGTATCGTACCCGAGCACTCGCAAGTCCCTCAAGTGGTACAAGAAGGTTTTGTTCAACCTTGTTGATATGACAGTCGTCAACGCCTTCTCCTTGCACAAGGTGCTCGGAGGGCGATTGACTCAGCTGATCTTCAGGAAAAGGCTGTCTGAAGATCTCATGCAGCTGGGGAGTCGCGATGGTAGAGAGGTCAGGTCGCGGTCACGGTCCCGGTCCCGCTCCCGCTCTCCGCGCCCTGCTCCGGCTCTTCAGGGTATCCATTGCCAGATTTCGACGCCTCACGACCGATACCGTCGGTGCAAACTGTGCTACTCTCGTGGCGTGAGGAGGATGACCAAGATGATGTGTTCAGGGTGTGATGTTTCTCTCTGTCGGACTTCCTGCTTTGAGGAATATCACACTCTGAACGCATCTACGTCTAGGTGATCCTCCTCACGCCACGACCTTGTACATATTGTATATATTTTACTTTCGTAAATAAAATACGAAATGTGAAAAAAAACTTTCTATATCCTCATATACCACACTATTTCTTTACACACCAATATGAAAAGAATACTCAAGAAAATAATCTTGATATAACATAAAATATTGAAACACTGAAAAGAATGAAGAAAAGAAAGAAGGAAAAAGAAAAAAAAGAAAGAAAGCTTCTTTACAGGACTTGATCCAATGATATTGAACAAATACGACTCCCAAAAATAACTTACAACAGGAATAAAAAATAAAAAAAATATGCGTATTACGTATATGATGTGATAACGTACTTATAAAACTACACTGAGAAGAGAAATTGAAAGCTATATCTTGCTCATGAAGTAATAATATAGACCTCGTGTGAAAACTTGGATAGTTTATATGATAACCTAAAAAAATGAATAAGGAAATTCAACAAAAAAAAACTATGGTTATAAATACGATCATACATCAAACTGCTTACTTTATTCAGAGTAAAGGCGAATAATTATCAACTGTGGAGTCTATACTACGAAAAAACTGTCATACATACTTGACTTTTAGGAAAAACATAGCAAATATATACTTTAGGAAATAATAACAAAAAAAAAAAAAAAAAAAAAAAAAATCTTAGTGATACAAAGAAAAGCAAGGAATGCTGGTATTGCGCGTGAGCGGTCGCGCGCCATAGGGATATGGCACGGGTCCCCGGCAGCACGCCCAGGCCGCTGCGAATACTACCCGGGGAAAGGGTCGCGCGCATCGGAAAATGACCCGTCGGGATTGGGTTAAAGCCTCACAACCACTCAAAGACTGGATACAAAAAAAAAAAAAAACACTACATTTAGAGTCCAACTAGAGTCAGTTGAGAATAATGACAGGAAAACTGAAACACCCAGAATACATTGCTAAAAAGGAGCTTAGTTGGACTCGTATTGCTGTGGATTTTACTTATGGTATGATTCCAGCTGTATATCTGTATATACTATTTAGCGTAATCCATACCTTGACAATACAAAATAGCAAGGGAGGTTTAAACAAGAGGAAAATAAATCTTATTCTACCACGTTTCCAATAAACATCAATGACAGCGCAAATACTACACTTTAAAGTTTAAACACTACACTACTACACAGTCGTCTCCTCACATCAATTCTATAATTCAAAATCAGGCCGTAAAAATATATGCACCTGAATCAAGAACCGAATGCCAGGAGGGTAAAAAGTGGAACAAAAAGTCAATATTAGCAAGACGCTCACCTTCCTGAACTGTTTAACTTTCTCTAGCATCTCTCTCTTTTCCTTGTGCTTCTGCTGCTCTCGCTCTATCTGGACCCTCTTGCCGAATTTCTTGATTTCTCTGATCTTCTTAACCTTCTCGCTCATTTCCTGTCCTGCCTTCTTGTTCATCAGCCTTTTTCGGACCTGGGGGGGATTTGCAAGACTTAGAAACTTGTGGATGCAAGATGTAAATTTCGGAATGTTTCTCGCTGAATATTAATTAATTTCAAGGTATTTTATAATTAAATACTTAGCTTCATGCTGGGTAGTTAAAGTTCATGATCACTTAAATCTGCTTTCTCATTTTGTAAGAATATGAAAATTACTTAAAAAAAAAAATTAATAAATAAAAAATAAGAATAATAAGAAAGAAAGAAAACAACCCCTAAAAATGATATTACCTTCTGCATGTGAACATCACTTTTGGCCATTTCCGCGAAATAGTCGTCAGGCCTAAGCGTTGGCCTCTCCAGCTTTTCAAGTCGTTCATACCCATCCAGAACCGCCTGCTGAGCCTGTCTGTAGAAAATCATTTCCCGTTTGAAGTCATTGTGGATTGGGTCTTCATCCAGGTTGAAGTTCTTTCACGGTACCTTTCATTCTGGTCTCGCGCACCCTGGCGTGTTCAGCTATCTGTTGAGGTCAAACACAACTGTGAATCTGCTTAATCGAGTAATTGACGGGATATCGCTGGTGTTGGGGGGGGGGGGTGTTTATCAGTTGCTAATTAAAGGGACAGACTCCAATTTTCATACATTTCTCTTGTAACAGCTGATTCTGTAATTTACAGATTAGGTTGTAATTTCTGAAATATAAACAAAGTACTGCTTATTTTCTTTTACAAAGTAGTTTATGCTGGCACATTTTGACATTTCATGTGGACTTGGTTTCGCTTTTATGATTTTCCAAATTTTAGTAGCCCTGTCTCAAAAAGAAAAAGAAAAATATAATAAAAAAAATAATAATATAATAAATAATAATAATAATAAAACAAACAAATGAACAAAAATCTGGCCTTAATATGGAAAAGTTAGAATCAAACTTTCAAATATGGCGTGGACAAGCAATTGAGTTACTTGTTCCGAAAGAAATAAGCTTTGATATCTCAAAGTAAATGCATTTTTTAAAATATTTTGATAAGACTAGGAAACCTCCACTTCATATCAATGCAGACTTAGGAATCATATCAGTTTTTTTTCTCACAATCTCCTAAAAAATCTTTTCTTCACTCTTTCTACCCTTTTCTGTATGCATATACATATACGTATATTGCATATATATATATATATATATATATATATATATATATATATATTATATATATATATATATATATATATATATATAATATATATATATATATTATATACTTATATCTTTATATATCTTATATTCATATCTCTCTCTATATAACTATATATGTACAATTATATATATATATATATATATATATATATATATATAATATATATATATATATATATATATATATATATATACATATACACACACATTTTTCTTCTTATACTTGAAAATTCCATATTTTGATGTGTAACTTCAATGGGCTATAAATATCACTAAAATTGGGGAGGGCTATCAATACTAAAAATTACAAAATAAGAAAACTGCTCCAGGAACTATAAATTCAGCTCTTCCCGTGCCCATTAGTGCATTCGAACTTATTACTATATCGATATATGGCTTCACAATCTATAAATTATATTCCCCCAGAATTAAAATCTATTTGAATGAATCATGAATCATGCCCATTAGCGCATTTGAACTTATTACTAAATTGATATATGGTTTCACAATCTATAAATTTATATTCCCCTGAATCAACATCTATTTGAAGGAATCATGAAAATCCGCTATTATGGGCGTTAAATCTCTTGCGGTCAAATGACATTCCACAGGCTGAGGTCAAATGTTTCTCTGAGGTGCATGTATTTCCCCTAATCCCATTTTTGGACATTATCTGTGAGACAATTCCATTAACATCCTCATTCTCTGTTAATAGATTCTCATTTTTCTTTTCCTCGTGAATTATTAATGTAATTATTCAACTCATTCTTAACTCTTCCCTTATTTTCTTTATATAACGATACCCTTATATGCTACAAAAACTTTAGCTTTCATGATATATATTAATTATCTGGTACCAACTTTTGCATTTTCTAATGAAAAATATAAAAATATATGATTTAATGATAACTGCTTTCACAATACCAAAGATTATGAAATAATTCTAAGTTTGGTTTGCAAGCCAGTACAAACTTATGCGGTGCAGATAAAAACAAATCAAACTTTAAAAATATATAAATATATGAGACATATTGTATATTTTGATTACTTCTAACTCAATACTCAAGGATGTTAAAAAAGCACATGTGACAGTATACAAAATAAAATATTTCTCAAAAAAAAAAAAAAAAAATATTAATAATAATAATAAAAAAAAAAAATAATAATAATGATAATAATAATAATAATAATAATAATAATAATAATAATAATAATAATAATAAAAATATAATAATAAAAATAATAACAAAAATAAATAAATATATAAATAAATAAATATAAAAATAAACAAAAATAAATCAATAAACAAAAATAAAATCACAGAAAATAAACAAATAAAAATCTGTGACTATGACTCAACAAGGCTACTACCTTAAAACTCATTACAGAAAATAGTTGATTTATGACATAGATGCCCTCAATATAGTAATAAACAGATATTATATATATATATATATATATTATATATATATATATATATATATATATATATATATAAATAAACAAATAAATAAATGAAATTATCAAAAAGAAGTCGGAAACCTATTTTTTTGTTCTTGCAGTCGACTTACCTCAACGTCTAGCTCTGGAGCCAAAGGGGCAGGTGTGTTGGTAAAATCTAGTCGTTCAATCCACGGTAAACTCTGTTTGAACTCCTTTAGTTTTTGTTCAAGACCAGCCTATAATGTAAGCAGGAAGAAAAATATATCTTTAGAATAAAAAAATCAAGAAAATTTTAGCTCTGTACGACTTAGCATTGTACTTTTACGTCTGAGTTATATGATCAACAATGCAAAGCTCAACCACTTTATCATGACCATATGCACCTAATTTGTATGCAACATAATCTTAGTGAAGGATTTTTTGGCCGTTGTCCAAAAATCACTTCATTTCATTCTTAAAAACTACTAATATTCTCATAAATTTTTAAACAAATCCTGTCTTTCTACTTCAAAAGACCTAAAATGTATCCAATAACACCTCCAGCTGTCAACTCTAAAATTACACGTACAATTACATACATAACAAATAGAACATTACAAAAACGAGTAACTTTACCACATCATTCTTCATTTCCTTATTCCGCGCATCAATGTCTGCTGCAAAGTTCAATCCAGGCTTTATGTCCCCTCTTTCAAAGGCTCTTTGCAGCTGTAAATAAGACAGAACATCAATCAATACATAATTCCTGATAAATAACATTTCCAATCAAACTTCCTGAATATCTTGATTACCAAAATTTGTAAGCAAAAATTCAGCGAAAGATTATTTGTTAACTAGAAAATCACTTATTTCTTTAAATGAAAAGAGATACATACATTGTCTCTGAGAGTAACATCAAAAACAAAAACACTTTTTACAACTGTCTAATGAGAATCACAGTACATTTCTTTTTGGTTTATTTTCACATCTGTCTTGCTTATAAATTTACAAAAAGGCTACAACTAATAAAAGTTAATAATAATATAAAAAAAAAGCAGACCAGCATTCCCTTCTCACCTCGCCATCTGATTCATCGTCATCGGAGATCAATTCCTCATAGTCTGAGTACTCCTCCTCCTCCGAGAAGTCAGATTCTGTGTCAGACTCCATCACCATGCTTTAGGGTTGTAACTCTGGAAAATGGTTGATTTTCATTATCAATATTGATTAAAGAGACAAAATATTCTGGAATAATGAACTGATTATAAGGTTTACAAGAAATAGAGTAATTTTTTAGCTTCACACAATCTAATCTTGCAATTATTATTACTTTTTTCAATTATCAATACTATATTATGTGTGAACCTCTTGTTATTTTCCATGGCAAATGATATAAATGAAAGTATTGCCATTCTGAGAATGTCACTATTACTCCACCCAATCTTAGGAAATCCACAAATATCACAATAAGAACCAAAAAACCTTCCTAACCTGAGGCCTCTACCACCAGACCGCCATCCAATCATCCTATTTCCCTATTGAGGCTCTACCCTTGGACCCCACCCAATCACCATGGACGTACTCTTTACATGGCATTTGTCACGGTCTATTTTCTTTATTTCTGAGGTTATTTTTTGTTCATATAGATTATTATATGTATTAGTGAGTGTAGTTTTTCTTTTTGATTCTCACGGTCCCATTACTTTCTGTGTATAACAAAATTACGTGTTGTACAACTTTCTTATTATCAACTTGCAAAGGTAATACTACAGATGAAAGTGTCATATTTTTAGTTATTCTGTACACTACAGGCAAAATTTACCTTGTACTACACAAATGTGGGAAACAAATTATACTGAAATATGAGCACAAGTAACAAAGAGATTTTAAAAAAATAAAATGAATGTGAGAACAGGGATCGGTTCATGGGGTTGATGTTACCTCTCCCCCCTCCCCTCCCCCCTCCCCCTTAACAACAAAAAACAACAACAACAACAACCAGGGCTGGCCACTTTTCCGTAGCAGCCTTTTTGCCATTTTCTAAACATTAGATGATAAAGAAAATGTATATAAATAATACAATTGAACCAAATACTATCATAAATGGATGAATATTAGCTTGTAGTTACAGTGCATAGGGTCTGAGCCTGATGATTATAGGATTCCTTGCAGTACCTTCCTGTTCATTGCACTGCATAAAACAAGATACACTAAATACTTTAGTATGCCAATAATGTACAAATATTCAACATCATAAAATAAACCCGCATTTATTATAAAAAATGAATTTGATATATAACTTGAGAAAATGTGACATTGAATCAGTAAGCTTCATTTATCTAAAAAGTATTCATAGTGAGTGTGCTGCAGGGCTGACAATGATTTCCAAGGTACACTAAACAGTTCTAAAGAGTTGTGTGCATTGCATCTTCACATACAGACAAAAACCTTCTAAAAATGACTGAAAGCTCTTACTCATCCTATTTTTTTTTTGTAAAAAGAGCTTGGTATAGAGCTTGGTATAGCCTTCCCCGCACAACAACTATTTGGTCAAATTCTGTCTGTGCAAATGTAGTTCTCGGGTAACTTTCGCCGCCGCATAGTTCTTTTTTAATTCATCTTCCGCGCATAAATTTCCTTTGACCTTTCCGCGCACTTATGTCATCATCCGTCCACAGATCCGTCCACGCAAATGTAGACAAAATGTTATGTAATATTCCCCGTGCAAGAAAAAAACTACAATCTGGGTGTATAGCATCCAACAAAAGAGAGCGACTGACAGCCACTGCCACTTTCAGGTATGTCAACCCCAATACCAAATTGCTCTGACAGAGTGCTTTAAAATTCATCGACCTAAAGACTCTCAAGAACCGTTTCCCTTCAAAGAAAAAGAAGTCAAATTCCTCTTTCACGAGCAAGACCGGGGAAGTGGAACCAATATCGGCATTTAAGTCCTAAATATCAACAACGAAGACTATTTTCTTATAATTACACAAATAAGGCATTAATTCTGGATAAACGCCTAAAAAACCGACACAATCCATAACAAAAATAAGAGAGAATGGTTAAATCAACAAACTCGTGTTGCTTTGGAGACCTCCAGCATGTAAACATCTCATAAAACCTTCTTTTCTCTCTAACAACACTTAAAATCTTCCTCTAAAGCCTCTCAAACACTAGCTACGACATTACACGATTCTTATCACGCAGAAAGACATCAAATACTCACAATTAATAAAATAAATAAGAGTTTTCTTCTCTCGAAACGATGTAAACACTGCTGTAAATTTCTCGAACATGTGGGTCTCTGGGTCGAACGTTCGCGTAAGACTGAACTTGCGAGGCGGTCTTTCTTTTAGGTTTTTAAGATAAATATATTTTTGGAGGTGTGTTTTATGGTTTGTGTGTGCATTTCGTTCCTTTAATTGACATGTTTTAAAATGCGAAAGGCCTGAGTTATATTTGGATATAATTTTGCCTGAGAGAACTCACTGAGTTTTCTAAAGCTTCCGTTCGTCTTAAATTTACACTTTCTTTTAGGCTTTGGTAGATATTTAACGCATTCCTCATGGTTTCATCATATAATAAATAATGCTGTCACTGAAATTAACAATATTCTAATTCAACGTTAAACTCACATGCAATATATATATATTTTTTAAGTTTGCGTTCGCATACTCGAATCAACTGCCCAACGTTCATGATTTCTATTGCGTCATAGAAATTTCCCCCAAAAATATATCTTTTGACTTTTCTCTGTGTATCTATAAGCAAAGGAGGTCACCTTGGACACCATATAGACTTGAATATTTCTAGCAACATCTACAAAGAGTGGCGAAAAGAAATCAAACCGGACAGACTTCAAATTAGATATGAAATTGAACGTGATACTTCGGGAGAAGGAAAGGAAAAAGGGATAATCTTTAAAAAAATGGAAAATGGTTGGGCTTTACAAAATTCAAAAGATATTCGACACATAAGAATTTCAGCCAAATAGAAACAGTTCAACCAAAGTACATCTGAACTCATCATTATACATGGAAATATCGACTTATATATACGTATATATATATATATATATATATATATATAATATATATATATATATATATATATATATATATATATATATACTGTATATATGTATATATACATATATATATATCTATATATATATATTATATATATATATATATATATATTATATATATAATAATATATATAATATATATAATATATATATATATATATATATATATATATATATATATATATATATATATATGTGTGTGTGTGTGGTGTGTGTGTGTGTGTGTGTGTGTGTGTGTGAGAGAGAGAAGAGAGAGAGAGAGAGAGAGAGAGAGAGAGAGAGAGAGAGAGAGAGAGAGAGGAGAGAGAGAGAGAGAGAGAGAGAGAGAGAGAGAGAGAGAGAGAGGGAGAGAGAGAGAGAGCGAAAGAAGAAAGGAGAGGGGGGGGGGATCTTTCATCTTTTAGTCAACACACGAATCTATTCAGCTGTTCTGGCAACGTTTCAGTTTACTGATGCGGTATTGATGTGTATGTGAGAAATAGATAAAAGCAGTTGAAAAGAAAGAATATGAGAGAGAGATAGAGAATAGGTAGATAGATATAGATAGATAGATAGATAGAGATAGATAAGATAGATAGATGAGATAGAAGAGAGAGAGAGAGAGAGAGAGAGAGAGAGAGAGAGAGAGAGAGAGAGAGAGAGAGAGAGAGAGAGAGAGAGAGAGAGAGAGAGAGAGAGAGAGAGAGAGAGAGAGAGAGAGAGAGAGAGAGAGAGAGAGAGAGAGAGAGAGAGAGAAAGGAGAGAGAGAGATAATCTTTTTCTTTCATCTTTTCCTTCATCTTTTATCCACAGTAAACAAATACTTGAACCAAATACTAAACAAAGAATAGAAAATGACTCCTTCAACACCCCTCAAAAATAATGAATAGCCATAATAAAACAAAAATACTTTTAAAAAGATTAATAAGAATTAACTTTCCCACTTTCCAGACCTGGCCGTGTCCCCCCCCCCACCCACCCGATACACACACACCCTCACCATCCTCGCAAAGAGTCCACACACACACACAAAAGGGATAAAATATAACAAAAACATTAAAAAAAAAAAAAAAAACATTACCCCCGCCCCCTCTCACCCCCCGGCCAGGCTGCGCATCCCGCTCGTCGCTTGTCATTGTTTACATTGTGTCCCTCGCAGCCCAAGGGAAATTCTCGGCCCAGGAACCGTTTGAAAATCGCTCTTCAATAATGGATAAAAAGGAAGAGGGGGAGATTTCTGATGACAATGAGGACAGTTTTGATGTGAGTTGAGAAGGAGGAGAGAGAGAGAGAAGGAAGGGAGGAAGAGGAGAGAAGGAGAGAGAGAGGGGAAGAAAGGGAGGGAGAAGGAGAGAGAGGGAAAGAGGGAGAAAAGGAGGATGGAGAGAAGGGGAAGAAGAGAGGAGAGGGGAGAAAGGAGAGAGAGAGAGAAGGAGAAGGAGGAGAAAGAGAGGAGGACGAAGGAAAGGATTTTGCTTTGAATTTTAAAATTTGTTGACATTAATTTTCTGATCCAAAGGTCTTGTATCTTTTTTATCACCTTACATTTTGATATTGTTTCTGTCATTTTAAAATTCGTTTTCTCTTTTATTTTATTCTTGATGCTAATGGATTTATTCAATGATTTGCATATTATTGTATGCATAACTTTTTTGTGGAAGGAAGGTCTCTCTGGGGCATCTCGGGCACAAGCCATATCATTATGATATTTTGGTTATATATTTAGTTGTTAAATTTACAGCATTTAATGTGGAATGATACCGATACTTAATAGTAATGCAAAATACGCAACAAGGAGTTTATGTAATCTAGTCAACAACGAGGACTTTACAGTTGGCATGCAAGATCCCACGTGTGGTCTTCTTACCCATGTGCACATTCTTGATTTCATGTGCACATTTTCTAGAAAAATTGAACTCTCCAGGTGCATGCATGTGCACATTTTAAGGTCCATGCCACAATAAATTTCTGAAATTCAATTAATTGCATTTGTTTGAAATGAATTGCTGTGGGGAATTTTCCTTAGCATGACACAGGGAAAAATTTTCTTAGTTGTGTTTTGCTTTTCTGTTGTGCATATTAGTTGTCATATAGATCCTTAATTTGTTTTGTCATAGGTATGTCTATGCTATCTGTTATGCTATTAATTCCTCAGTGCATCTTGCGTTTATCTCTCCAGACTGTAGAGTTTGGTATGCGCAAAAATTATTTGGTCAAATTCTGTCCGCACAAATGTGCTCGGATAACTTTCCGCACATACTTAGTTTAAAAAAAATTATCTGCGCATTAAATTCTTTTGTCTTTTCCGCTTACTTGTTTCATCATCTGTCTGCAGATCCGTCTGTGCAAATGTAGACAGAATGATGTTTTCCACGTATGTAAAAATGTAATATTCCCCGCACAAGAAAAATACCCTACAGTCTAGTATCTCTCCAGGCTACAAATTCGTACTGTAAGGCTATATCACACACTTTTCACGTGAATGTGTAAGATCCAATATCAAGTTGTTCAAGATGTCCAGTGTAGGTATTACATTCACACGATAGCTTTCTAAGAATAAAATTTAAAATTGATAGTTGTCATCTATCATCCACATGAATATGCCAAATTAGTAGTTTTGGCCTTTGAACTAAATACTACCGAGTTGAAAGTATTTTGATTTTAGTGTTTATTTGCACTGCATTATTCAACATATCACATGCATATATTCATATATAATTTACAGTGCAAATTAGTACCATGCCAATTCCTATGTATCTGTAGTGCTCAAGTGCAGACTTTAGTCAAGTTAAATCTCATGGGCACAGCAGAAGTTAGCAAACTGATATGTAATCATGAATAGTATGTGAAGAACAAATTGATATATTTCACGAGGCATTAAATGTGGCCTTATTAAGAACTAGTCATATCATTTTAGGTAATCTTTTAATTGATAAAGAAATGAGAATCAGAATAATTTTCTTGATACTTATTCTGATGACTTGAACATTTATCAATATGATTTTTCATTGGCTATTGCAAGAAAGTGCATTATATGGTGGCACGGTAAGGACGCTGAGAGTAAGAAGGACCTTGATAGTTATCCTGCAAATGAGACGAGATCATATGAGACATGATTTTGTTTGTGTCTTTGGTGTGTTGCTGGAAAGAAGAAAATCAAGGAATACTTGTGCTTTCTTATACACATGCACACATACGTGAACACTCACACATACACTCAAGTACATGTACCCTCCCCACAACACATATGATCAGTCATATATATTGCGTGAATTTTCGTTTACACATTTTTATGATACTGGTGTGCTTCATAGGCTACTTGGAAAATTATAATAGTCAGTTACTAAGACCTTTCTCTGTTATGAGTGAATGAATACAATTATGTTAAGCATTGATAAGATCAATTCATTGACCTTTTTCTCCTCATTATCAACAGCTGGTATACAAACCTGTGTCTCGTCCCGATGCCTCCAGTACCGCCATGCCCTCGTCACATGCCCTCAAGTGATGAAGAATATTCATCAGACTCAGACTCAGATGCGCCAAGCATCCCCAAACGGAAACGCCCAAACGTCAGCAAGATGGAGACCAGCACAGTTGAAAGGTCGGTTTCTATTTTGGCCGATTTTTAGAAAAGGATCACTTTATGTCAATGACCCTCTGCTTCACATTTCATCAAATACTAGCAAAGTAGCTGGACTGGCTCTCAGTGGCTAGATAAATCAATAAGGAGGTGTATGAACTCTGTTTTGTCAGAATGTACATAATCGAAGTTTGTTGATTATTATCATGATTATTATCATTGTTGGAGTTTGAAGAACAGAACTCAACAGTGCTGAATATCTTGATATGGGGACTTTCATAAAGAATTTTGGGCTTATGTTAGCTTTGCGTGTTCTTTTTTCATATCGGATAGTGTTGCTTTAAGTATTATTTATGATCATTACGTAACTTTTTCTCTGTCTGCTTGCTCCCATTCAGAATAATTGCTTTTTTTCTTTTTGTTACTTTTGTTGTTTTTTTTTTTGTCTTTGTCTTCGTCTTCATTACCATCTCCATCTTTCATCTTTATCTTCATCTTCATCATCATCGTCTTCTTTTTTTGTTCTTTCTTCTTTAATCATGAGTAGTTAGTATTATATGTGGAAAGGGCTGATATATGATTATCTTTTTTTTTTGTGAGTCACATATGTGTCACAGGTTTTTCACTACAAATTATTATCATCTTTTTGTCAATAAAAGGATTAGAAATTAGGAAAACTCTAAAAGATGCATAGGACCTTGTACCTTATTGCATCTTTTGCTGCTTTGTTTTCACTCGCTTTTTTTCACTCTTGTTCACTCGCTTTTTTTCACTCTAATAATGCTTAAGTTATGTACATAACTTATGCATTATTATGTCAGTTGACAGTTTACAACAGAAGGATGCATGTTTTGAATTACAAGTATTTACCCAATGTAAGGTCAATATCTAATTAAGAATCGCTTTTGCAGTCACGACCCCAAAGGCTGGACAGTAGGAAGTGGAGAATTAGAAGCCAGACACATTGCCAAACCCAAACGTAGAAATAACATTTGGTCGACAGTCATGGAGGAACAGGTGAGTTTGAATAAAGATAAACATTAATGGTGAATTAATAAGAATGATAATTGTATTGTGATAAATATATGAATTTATTTTTTGGTTTCTGTAGATGTTATCTTTGTGATAAATTTAATATGCATGAAAATAATGGTCATGATGTATATTGCATCTATAATACATATGTTGTATATTTTATGTGCATAATGTACTGAGTAAGTTACAAGACTAGGTCCACATCTTAAAATCTGTCAAATTTGGTGTCGATGGATCTTGTTGATGTCTACTGACCAGAGATGGCAGAACTAGTTGGCAGAATTAGTAAATGAGAATAACATGAACATCCAAAACTCTGATCATTTGCACAGCAACTGGGGACTGAGAGTATGTGGCAAGGGTTGCATACCTCCTGGAGTCATCTCCTAAGATGGGTCAGGATATCACTCTTGAGATGTGTCGCTTGGACTGGTTAATATTTATAGTATGGACATACCAAGTAAGGGCAAATTGAATATGAACTTCTTGTAGAGGACAAAAAGTTGCAGTAGTCAGCACAAGAAATAATCTTCAGACATGAATGGTAATGGCACAAATAAAGAAAGAAGATTGCAGAAAGCGCTGCTCTCAGCATTTGTGCACTTGGTTCTCCTGAGTTTTAGCTCTATCTTGCTGAGCATACTGAGGTGAAGACAATGTGTCCCTGAGGGTGTTGGGGTAGTGCCTGAAGTGCACGCCCAGTCACAGCAACTTAGACTAATGAATATATGTTTTGACGGGGAGCTGGGGACTTAGTCTCTGGTGAGTGCGTCCATACTGTAAGGAATTATTGTACCTTTACAAGCCCTCTATTTGCCACATTATTAAATCTGCTATTTCCTGATGATACCTCATACCCTCCTACTATTATTGGGTTTTGTACATTGTAATTGTAGCTAAGTGCCGACCAAAATCAGTATGATTCCATACTAGACATCATGAAGAAGTCATTGATGTCAAATTTGATGGATTTGAGGACATGGGCTGATTCCAGAAAACAAGCTATCAGTAAATGTATATGTTGAACTTAATTTTTATTCTCTTTTTTTTCTCCAATTACCCCAATTAAGGTTTTGTCACAAGAAATTGGTGGTTTTGGCCTGAAGCGCAGACTAGACCAGGGCGATCGGAGTGTTGAGTCCTACGATTACTCCCAGGCTCTGAGAGTGCACGGGAGTGAGCCAGAAAATTAGAAGAAGAAGAAACGGAAGAGTTGAAGAAAAAGAGGTTGGTTGGATGAGGCTTTTTTTTTTTTTTCTATTTTCATTATGTTTAAATTTCTTTATTTTTTTCATTATTATTATTTACATTGTGATACAGGGATTAGTTCATATATATCTACCTTTTTTTTCTATTTCTTATATGGTAATATGGTTAACCATATGCATATGTGCCATGATTGTTGTGATTTTCTGGCATCATGAAGGCACATTTTGGTTTGCAGCACTGGAAGACCCCAAATTTAGAAAATGTGTATTTAATTTTCATGTCTCAAATATGTTGAGTGTCAGTAGAGCGCAAAGTTGAAAGTTATCAAAGTTACCCCTTGAGTATGAATGAAAGTGACATTAGATTGATTTGAATATGTAAATGATAAACACATGGAATGAATTTGTTTCTTTTATCATACAGAACAATTAAATGTGTATTTAGATGTATTTATAGATATCTATATTTATAGATAGTTAAAAGACAGTAATATACTGGGAGATACATAATATTAGGAAGAGAAAGAAAGCT